CGAGGAGCTTAAAGCACAGTTATTCTTAATCTTTTGTGTCTTAATCTTTCGGTTCATAAGTTTTTAATATATGTAGTGTGCTATATGAAAATAAAAAAAGGTTCTGCCAGTCTTGACTTATATAACATTTCTGGATTAATTGTGACAAATGTGTAGCAACGGTTATTCGAGCTCCTCGAGGGATTCTTTTAACTATGGGTATACAATTTTTCAAATGGCTACGATATATGTGGAAAGGAGTTGGATCGTTGGCTACATAAGTAGGCGCACTTGGAATAATGGGATGGATGTCTGTCACTGTGTACATGTATGGGTCGCGTTCGACGTGCCATCACAGGATTGGGTCCCGGACCGCATTCACAATAGTTAAATATATTCACAAAAAGAATAACTTAAGAACACAATAAAGTAATTTAAAATGTACACTGAAAACATAAAACATAAAAGCCAAAGTCAAAAAATGACGGCTGCTTGTTTTAATAACTAGACGCATGCGTCGTTACGTAGGTGCGTCACAGGATAGTCTTGCAATTGGACGCTGCAGTGGAAGAGACCTAGCGACGCATGTCGTCGCTAGGACAAAAGATGGCGGCCTTAGCGTTGTGGGATTTGTTTGTTGAGCATCAGGATTGCTATTTCCGTTTCGGATAAAAGTTTATCGAAACAATCTCTTACACACAGACTCCGGATCTAATGCTTATAACATTTCAAAAAGGAAACTGTTGTTCTGGTCGTCTATTCCGATTCAGAACAATTCTGGAACTTGGCCTTCGTTCAGAATTTTACAGATTCGAAGCTGATGCATCCGTACTTATTCCATTACCATAACTACTTCTGCAGATGTTAATTATATACAGGCTGTTTATCTTCTTCGATTGTGGCATAAATGTACAAGCATCATTCTCACGAGATAGTTTTATGTTTTCTCACACTTACACATAATTACCGTTACTTCAAAGACAAGCGTTCAAATTTCTATAGGATTTGTTCCGAAAGTCATTTGATCTTAATTTGTGTTTCAATACGCAAATTATCTTTAAAATTTCCTTTAAATAAAAAATAAATAGAAATACAAGAATCTACTAATTGTTACATTAGCGTCCCGGTCATTTTCTATATTAAAGTATGTTTGGCAAAAATTTCAAATAGTATGTCTCGTTTTTCAAGCTAGAAAAAAAAATGAAATAAATAAAAATAAAATATTATATAAGTTATAATCCATGAAAACCACCAGATTTCGAAAAAGTTTTTAAATTTCATACAACTGAAATCCGAATTTTGCATTGCGTTCAATATTCATTATAGGCTAATATTTACAGTTTAAAACTTATGTTTTCACGTTGTTACGTTGTTAGAAGACACACAGATATGTCATAACCACAGGTCTTTACTTCATGAACACGTTTTATTCACAATTACTAATATTTAAAATTTGTGGCTTAGTCTCAATGTCTTAATGAATATTAGGCGTCATTGCAAAGAAACCAACAATATGAAACAAAAAAGTCAACAACCCTATTCACATTGAAATGTTATGAACATTTTTTTTATTTTTTATCGATTATAAATCGATTACATTTTTTTATAATTTAAATTATTTTCAACTAAGCTAAATTAGGATCAACATATATTTACCAATTGGTTATATTTATGGTTGCAGATTTTTATATATCACGGAGCCTTTTCCGACCTAGATTATTAGCGGAGTAGGTAAGGTTTCAAAATGAGTCACAGATCCGACACAGCACCCCCAATCCATGTGGTCTTGTGGTCTCTACCCCTAGAACATAAAAAGGCGGAGCAAGAACTCAGGGACGACATAGCGAGTGTTCTGGCGAAGCACGTGGAAGAGTCAAACTTAATAATGTAGTAATTTTTTTTATATTTCTTATATTTTTTATTTTTATTTATTTACATTACAAAGCTTTAAAATCTTCATGTTTAATTTATTTGTTGTTTTATGTAATAAAATATAAGAAACATTCAAAATTTATTACTTCCTTATAAAGTTTGACTAATAATATAGAATTATGTACTAATCTTTCATTTTCACACAGTTCTGGGTCAAAATAAACACATTTTTTTTGCATTTGTCATATCAATCGGCAGCTATTGTTCTCACTGCAATATTTTTTTTTCGGTGACAAAATATTACTTGGAGATTCTAAAACTATTTAATTATAACAAAAGATTATAGAATTATTCTTCACGATCATTTATATGTATAATAGCATCAAAATATCTACTTACGACATATTTTATTTTGCCACAAATACAGTAATAATACTAATAATTTTTTTTATGCCGTTCTACCTGAAACTTGTTGCCAGTTAAAGTTATTTCGTTAAATAATTTCATAAAAAACGTCTTTATGAAGCAATTTTTATAAACAAAACGCGATAGTTCATCATAGGCGAAATTTATTTCTCTCCCGTGGGGGATATCTAATGGCTGTTTACTTACTGTCATTTTCGTGGTACTGCAGAACCCAAAGGCTTTCAAATATATCACATCAGATTAACAAGATTCTATATTCAAAATTTAAAAGAAAATTTCATTTATAATGTTTCTAACTGGGCAGTTCTAAAAACTTTTAGTCAGTCAGTCACCATTGTCTGCAGAGAACACAGTCTTACTTTACTATTGTATTGATAGAATTACTAATCTGTATTTATACATATAATAAAAAGTACCCGGAGGACCGAGCTTTGCTCGGTTTGTTTTTTTTTTTTGGTAAATCGTGTATTTTGGAAATTACATTTAGATACAAATTACTGCGTAATGAAATATGCATAATATTTTTCGATCTTACCGACGTAATAATAAGAAAATATGAACTGATGTTTTTCACAAAAGAAATAACTTAAAAAAAAATGGGAAAAAAATAACAAAATAACAAATCGACGAAAAATTCAAAATAAAGAAAGCAATGATCTGGAATCGAAAAAAAATAAATATGTAAATGATCGTGACGCGAACCACGGCCGTCTGTTTTGGGGCCGCCCGATTACCGACCGAGCTATTATGACATTTTCTCTTGCGGCGAAATTTACCGTCATATTCGAATTCTATTTTTCATTCCCCGAAAACAGGGATAAAAGGGCATTTTCTAAAAATGAAACCTAGCTAGACCGATTTTTCGCCCCCGATTCTACGCACATACTAAATTTCATGAAAATCTCTGGAGCCGTTTCCGAGATTCCGATTATATATGTATCCGATATATATATGTATATACAAGAATTGCTCGTTTAAAGGATAAGATGTAAATGATCATTATCTGTACATGGAAGATATTTGAGAAAAACTATGCGCCCCCAACGATATTTCCGCCAGCGCGTACTGCTGGACCCACCACCACTGGGTAGGTTAAAATGATATAACTTTGCGAAGACATAATGTATACATTTTTTTTTGTTCTGTTAGAATGACCTTGAACCCTTAAGGAAGTTTCCTTAGATTCGACTAACCTGAAGGAAGTTTCGATGACCCTGGAGGAAGATTCCTTAGTCACAGTCAAAGTCAAATAGCTTTATTCAATATAGAAGCATTACACTTACTTATTGAAAGTTAAAAAACTCTAACACCGGTTCGGAAGGAAAGCCCCTGACCTGAGAAAAACCGGCGTAAGAAACTCAGCGGGACATTTTTTTCAACTTGACAAAAAATAAAAAATATGTGTACAATTTATTAAATTCCACTTGGAAGAGCCTGGAGCGATAAATACATTTCCAGAGTGTGTTATCATTCAAATAATCACTAATACTATAATAGCCATTAACAAACAAACGTAAAAAGCAATAGTCAAAAAGAAGCTATAGTCAATATTTTTATTTCTTTAAACAAGTTTTTAGTGTCGGGGCCCAGGTTATAAACACCTCGAATAGCTCTCTTTTGCAGGATGTTGAGTGTTTATGTCGGCTGCATTTCCCCAAAGTAGAATGCCATAAGACATTGTACTGTGGAAATAGCTAAAATATACCAGACGAGCCGTATCCACATCAGTCAACTGTTTAATTTTTTTGACCACGAATACTGCTGAGCTAAGTTTACTCGCCAGTTTATTAATATGGGGGCCCCACTGCAATTTGGTATCTACAGTTATGCCAAGAAATTTAGTAGAGTCAAGGAGGTGTAACGCTTTTTACGTTGGGAGTTGTAAATTTAATACATTTCGTTTTTTTACTATTCAACATTAACTTGTTAGCACTAAACCAATGCACTACAGTGGAGGGAGTATTGTTTGCATCGTCATAATTTAGAGAATGTCGTTTAACTTTAAAAATTAAAGAAGTATCATCAGCAAACAATACTATCTCTCTCATGATCATTATTAACAAGATAGGGCAGGTCATTTATGTAGATGAGGAAGAGAAAAGGCCCTAGAATAGATCCCAGTGGGACTCCATACTTACCAGGGCCTCGGGAGATCTCTTGCCATTCACGTTAACTCTCTGAAGACGATAGCTCAAGTACAATGTCAGAAGATTGAGTGCGGCATCTCTTATACCATAGTGGTGTAGTTTCCTGGCCAGAGTGAATCAAACGCTTGTGCTAAGTCACAGAATATACCTAAGGCATCCTGTTTAGATTCGATTAACCCCTGGATCTCGTAAACAGGAAATGAACCGCAACCTGACTCGTATTAGAAAGTGTTTTTAGTAGTGATGGGACGGAGAAAACTAAGAATATATCTCTACTAATTTTGTAAAACGAGTTGTTTGTTTGACTCGGTCATCTCAGGGTCTACTGGTCCGACTTGCACTCTTAGATAGCCAATTTATTGAGGAAGGCTATAGGCTACTGTTTTAAAGCACGATATAAAGTGTACGTGCTAGTTATAAAAAACATAAAGCATATCGCAATATTCAAAATTTGTAACATCGTTTGGTTTGTTTTCGTTACTAAATTTAACATACACAGAAGTAATGATGTCTCGACATAAAACTCATGTCTGCATCGTATTTAACTGGTCTATAAATACGTTACTTATTTTAAAGGTGGAGTCGGAAGGTGGCGGGACGACATCGTCTCCTGCGCTACCCCTATGCCCATCTGGTCGCCCCGATGCTGAGGTGGAACCACTTCTGACCGAAGGTTAGTATTTGAACCTTAATTTTTTTGAGATTTAATTATCTGCTTCATTTTTTTTTCCTTTGAAAGAGATTCATTAACTAAACTGCCACAGATTTTTCAAAAAGTAAAAAAAAAATTAAATGGTTGTACTTCTCGTCTGTCGGTTATTTTACCTATTTTTATTATTATTATCTAAATCCTGTACCATAATTTCCCATAGGATTATCATTGACAGGATCGTTCTTCTTCTGTGAAATCGTTGATACGGTTATATTAAGATGGAGTGCCGACTAGTTGTCTTTATTCGTGATGGATTTGATTAACATTACAATATACTTATTGCTAATGGTAAAGTATTGGAATCGAATTCAAACTATTATTTTAAATTTGGAATTGACATATCTTAATTTACAGATGTATATATATATATATATATATATATATATATGCAGCGTGTCGTTACCACCGCGAGAATAAATGAACACACATATAGAGGATAAGTTTTTAAAATTGTATTAGGTAAACATTTACATTCATCAATATTTACAGAGTTATTAAATTTTCCAAAACAAACAATTTTAGAACACCCTTACGTAAAAAACTGTAACGTAAAGTTCATTTGTAAAGGTCACAAAGCATATGAATGGGTTGAGTGAATTAAAAAAGAGACAAAACATACTGTTAGAAGGAGAGGCTTGTAATGCGACGCTGTGGCGCGAGTTGTATAGGATGTTACAAATTTTGTTTCTTTTTTACTTAATTAGTTTGTTTGAAAAATATTTTTTTAATTATGGATTTTGTTTAACGTTAATATTTTTTTATGATTATTGGCAAGTAGCGTTAGACGTGTGTTCATTTATTGTCGCGATGGTAACGACACGCTGTATATATACTTATCTAATATTGAGAACTTTGCATACCTATAGTCAATTACTAATGACCCATGTTTTAAATGCAATAGGACATTTTAGACAGTAATTATTCCCAGAATAACAAATCAGTTGCCGCGAATGTAACAGCTAAATTAGGAACGACGCATACGGAAGGTAATTTCAGGCATAGGCTTCACATGCGATATAGAAATTGATATCACAATTTCGTTATTCGTATTTGCACAGAATAGTGAACATTAATTTTCTGTAAACAATTCATATGTATAAACGGTGAATTGTATAATTGTTAATTACTTTCACATTGGTTATTCGGAAGATATGCTTTTTTTGACACTACCTTTTTATTATATTGCCATTATTAATGTAGATTAAAAATAACTTGATTACAAAAAATAATAGTTAAAACGCGGACAGCTGACAAAACTACGAACGTTGTGCTTGCCTTATGAATTTTCTCTTCGAGGACGTAGTTTCTGCAAAATTAAGATAAATTAACAATGGCAGTATTAAAATCATTTGCAAATTTCTGGTAAGTCATGTTGGTTTCAGATACGAAAAGCACAAAGGGATCAAAACTGCTGCATCTTGTATTTGCTAGAGACACTTGACAGTATAATGCTGACTTAAGCTTTGGGATAAGATGCAATAAAATTATTTTAGATGAAATGGTGCAATTTTAAATATTTGTTGTGTAAATTAATTTAGTTATTCATTTATTATGTAGTATAAGACGAAAGGATGATTTGGATATATCCGACCACTAGAATTCACCGAGAAACCCAAAATAACTTTAGGTTTTAAATAAAAGTGGAATATTTCTAATAACAACTTAAAATGTTATCCTTCTACACTTTTAATAACAATCTCGGGTGTCACAGTGATACTGGGAATGCTTATATCGGCTAGACATACTTTCAACCTATTGCAAACCATCTAGAATTTCCTAGTAGATTTCTTGTATTAAGATTAAGAATACATACAATTACTGTCACTAAATATTGCCTGACAATGCAGAGCTGGTGAAAATATTTCACAATTTTATAATAGTTATTGAATTTAATTAATTTCATTCATTTTAAGTGTAATGTTATATGCTTAACACACTGATTACAATGAAACTTTTGTTTAGCAGAATAATTTAAATTTTTTTTTGTTTTCTCTTAAATTCTCGTTTGCCATCCAAGGAAATACAAATACTATTTCGTATGTATGTACATCAGAGGAGGGTTTAATTCTTATTATAAAGCTAAATTCACTACTTCATAATTATTGTCTCAAGAATTTATCTACTGGGCGTAAATCACTAATTGAAAAATAAAAAATCTTTTCATCGTTATTTATCACGTCGCCGTAAAATATGGATTTGATTTTTTCGAAGTTCAGATATTATACGATGAAATAACCTTAACGACTTTCGTAACGTGCCTGGAATTATTATTTATATCTCCCCGAATATCGTTCTTATTTCTTACTTACAAACTTCTCCGTATTTCCTTTCCCGGTTCAGAAGGTTCAATACTCTAAGAGAATCCATATTTTTTTTTTTTAATATGGCATACCAATATACTTAATTGAATTTCATTGTGCTTGTTCATCTTTGATAATTCGTGTGCCGTGATGGGGAAAACGATGATAATATTCATTTAAAATGAACAGAAACAGTTGTATCGCAAAATACAACGGAAGAATTTGTTATTAATAATATGAGTTGTATTTAATTGATGTCTCCGTGGCGCAGTTGCCAAGGAGCGTATTGGCTGCGGCGTCGCGGGTCGTGAGTACGATTCCCACACGGCACAACTATTTGTCTGACCCACACAGAGTTGTTCCACAACTGGATGTTTGTCCACGTGCAATTTATGTTTGTAAAACGTCCTTACAACTACTACCGTTACTACAACACACAAGGGCAATGTTTTTTATAAAAAAAAAAAAGAAATGATATTGTATTATTTCAATTGACACGTAACCATTACTAACAAAAGCTTTTGTTCTGCCCTTTAATCAGCTGTTAATTTTTAGGAGATGTAAACAAAATGTAATTAATTTTGAAATTACTTGGAGACAAGATTAATTACTACTGCGTTCGTTTTTTTTTTTAAAACGTTCTCGTGAAAGCTATAGTTCCTTACAGACAGTATTTGTTTTTTTATTTTCAAAATAAGGGCTAAATATCGGTAAATAAATAAGCCTGTTAGCGTTTATTAATACATTATACGTTTGATATTAATAATATATAAACTGTTTTGATGCACATTTACATACATGCATAGTTACTTTTAAACTAGATTTTCAATTTATTATCAAATGTTTCCTAATTCCTGAAACAACTCATAACTTTTCGTAGCAATCTCGGAAATGAATTAAATTAGCTCTTCCGGTTCCGTATCGATCCAAGCCGTTTTAAAGTTGTAGTGTTGTAATTGACGAGAAGTGTTAAACCTAACCTAACCTAACCTAAAACACAACTACAAAAACCAATTTGTACCTAAACGACGAGCAGATGTTTATCAAGAAAACAGTTTAAATAATCTATGTCATATTCCATAAAATACAATTATTGCTGTTTAAAAAAACTAAACAAATTATTTTACGAGGTGGTCACGATAACTCCCGAAAACTGGACGTATCGAGATCGGGTTATGTTTATTATGTTCAGAATAGCATCGAGTAGTACCCGTAGTTTTATAATAATTGTTCAAACTTTTTTAAATTAATCAAAATATTAGAAAAGAACGACTTAATTTCGTGTGTATAAACATTTCAGTCTAGTTATGGATTAACATGTATTTATTATTTAATCTCCTGTTTATTATGACAAATGATAAATGGTAAAGACAGGACGGAAATGGCCAATGTAAAACGCAATCCCTTTGCAGGATCATTGTGAAACATTGATGTTATGTTGAGAGTTCATTTAGTATCAACGTGTATCCAAATTTAGTAATTATTCCAGAAAATACAATAAAATATTAAAAAGATATTCGCTTTTTAAAACTGAAACTACTTAAGTAACTATTTTAACTTCTGTACATAAACATTATTCGATGTGAGAATGCTGTTAAAAGACGAAGAGGCATCAGGATTGTTCATATGAACAAAAATTAAAACGCATACTAAATCGCTAATCAACTCGGTTAATTACTGTGGTAGGGCCACGCAACAGTCTTCGCTGTTTTACAAATGGGCAGGTCCGTTTGGGTAGGTACGGCGACCTCATAGAAGATCGGCGTGAAGTGCAAACGTAACACTTCCGCGTTTCGTCTGGTGAGTGAGGTAACTGGGGCCCCACTTTATTAATAGTTGGCAACGCATGTGTAATCCTACTGTTGTTATATTGCAGATGTCCTTAGATGGTGGTTGTCACTTAACATAAGGTAAACCGCCAGCTCGCTTGCCACTTTCTCATATAAAAAAGGTTAATAACCTGCGAAATGCATTCAGACTGAACTAAAATGCAAACAAAAACCCAGAAGATTAGGCTAAGAAGAATGTACGAACATTTGGACGCAACGGTGTTAATTTTGATACATTATACTGAGAAAAAAAAAGTCTTCAAACTCGTAATAGTGTACTTCCCTGTGTGCAATAAAGTATATTCTATTCTATTCGTAGTAAATATTATGTACTTCTACGACTACGCTTCGTAACTGTTCCTAACATAGCCCCAAGGGGGAAAGAAGTACTTTTTCTTTAAAACAATGTACTACTCCACAAATCAATTGTAATATTGCCAGCATTGCTCTGTTTTCTCTTCGAATTGTTTACGCTTACCCTGTTTTCTTCGGAAATGAAAGTCGCTTGTGATTGCTGAAACTGAAACATGTTTTTAGGCTGGGACAAATGGTTCTATAAGAAAGGTATAGCAAAAATATATTCAAACATCTGTCTTATTTTTTAAATGAAAGTGTGCATAATGTTCTTTATTACACATCCAACGTAATTTCTTCATTGAAGATTGAGCGATGAGCGATGTGATTATATTTTTATTTATATTGTCATTAGCAAAGAAATACTTACATAGATACGTCCACTTTAAATGCTAATGATAAAACAATTTCGAACTTAAGTCTAAACACAGGAATTGTCTTTAATAAAGATAATTAAAATGTATGTTTAAGTTCTACG